CTACCTCCTGAGACTCCTCCTGCCGAGGCCAGCGTCACAACCTTCAGCCACGACGACTGCGCGGCGCTCTTCTCTGGCTCTAGCTACGCCGTGACCGAAAACATGTTGTGCGCGATCGGCGCGCTGGCCGGCGGCAGCGTGGTGGACGCGTGCCAGGGAGACAGCGGCGGGCCCCTCGTGTGCGAGTCGGGCGGCAGCTACGTGGTCCACGGGGCCACCTCGTGGGGCGTGGGCTGCGCGCACGACGCCTACCCAGGGGTCTGGTCGCGAGTCTTCTCCGCCAGGAGCTGGATCGATTATCACGTCTCCCTTGCCTCCACCAGTCCCGTCGCGTGCTCTGGCAACTCATCGGCGTTCGACGCTGGCTACGGAGGCTGCGACACGTACGCACACGGATCGAGCAACCACCATTGGTGCGGCATCGACATGGACGGGGCTTCGGGCATGTTGGCCAGTCAGGTGTGCAGTGAGTGTGAATCCTGCACTGTGGCGACGCCCGTGCCAGCTCCGGAGGCGTCGCCGACGCCTGCGCCAGCAATGCCCGAGCCTGCTCCGGAGGCGCCAGGGCCGAGCACGCTCCAGGTGAGCAACTCGTGCAGCTCGGCGCAGCACCTGAACGGCGTGTACACGAAGCAGCCGGTTGGCACTGAGTCTGGTCGACCGTACTACGAGCACGAGTCCGGCGCGGTGTACATCTACCACGAGCCGAGTTTGGCGTGCAATGGCGACACCTTCGCGGCCATGTGGGTGTTCGACAACGAGTTGCCCGACATTGCTGCCTCGGGTAATCTCGGCTCCGACTGCCACATCAACGCACTTCAGGCGAACACCGACATGGTGCTGCCTACAGGGTCGACCTCCTGGCTGGTGTATTGCGGCGGCGGATGGACCACCGTGTCACTAAACATAGAGCTGCCCTCGACGCCGGCTCCTTCAGCGACTGTCCCGACGCCGGCTCCCACGTCCGCGCCAGAACCGACGGCTGCGTGCGAGGACACGCACTCTGGAGCGACCAACCTGTTCGGGTCGCAGTGTCAGCTTTTTGACCTGCTCCCGTTTCAGTGCTTCCAGTCGCCCTACTACGACGACTCGGATTTCACGACATCGGACATGTGCTGTGCCTGTGGCGGTGGGGCGGCACCTGCGACCACCGCTGCCGAGTCGAGCACCATGTCGGGCAGCAGCACGTGGGGCAGCAGCACCACCGCGGCGCACACCACCTCTCCTCCCCCCCCCTCCTCGCCCTTCCTTCCCGCCTCCCACAAGTCCCACACTCCCCCTCCCCCCATCAGGACCCATCTCGTCCATCCGACGACATATCGATCTCGGGCGGGGCTCGGTCCGATCCTGTTCCGGTGTTCCGACGATCCGATGCGCCCCGATGCCTGCATGACGTCCTTTGTGCATCCTGGAGCGACCGATCCGCTCTGATTCCGGCTTTGTGCCGATGCGGCTGGATCCCAGGCAGATTCCGACTCGATCCGATATCCCGTGTCGACGTGAATTGATCTTGCCCCTCCTGTTGCCATGTGCGAGAAGGAGGGAGGGAGGGGCAATATTGGGCCTGGAATGCTGGTTCAACCGGCCATGCTGGAGGAAGGGAGGTGGCCAAGGAGCATGAGGCAGACAAAGAGAGGGGACGCCGGTGGAGCAAACGGACCGATCTGCCCAAGCAGGCCGTTCCCTCGAACAGCCAGCTTGAAGCCCTCGGTTTCGTCCTCTGATTAAGATCGTCCCAGGGTGTAACTCTCAATACGTGGAGGCTGCTGAAGTGGAGGCGTGCGTGCGTAAAGTGCTGTGCTGTCTCCCTGCCGTCACCCCGCCCCTCGCCTTCCACCTATGCTTCAGTCGGGCATGACCCTCTGCAGGAGGAATGCTCAAAAATAGTCAAGAAGTAGTCTGGGGGCAATTTTCCTTCTCTTTTTGATTGTTTTGGGGTCTTGTTTCGCTATCAGCAGTTTTTCTTCCAGTATCCACGTGTACGAGGACATGCCCACCTAACCCTATCCTTGCGTTCCTGCCCTTCTCCACCACATTGCGATGCTGCACCCTCTCTGATGTTGTGGAATTGCCACAGATGTGATCGTAGATCGAGGCCCTGCGTCGCTCCTACCGCTGACGAGGAAAGACTCGGCCACCTCGTGCTCGTGACACGGGGATCGACTCGGGGGGCCGACGGGGGTGGGGGGGAGAGAATCCGAAGGCCTCGGGACGTAGAATCTTGAAGACCAGGTCGCCAGCTCGACGACCTGAAAAAGAGGGAAGCTGTGAACATCGGGTCGTCGAGCTGGGGATCTCGGTACGCGAAGCCTTGAAAACGAGCTGACGGGGGGGGGGAAGGAGTCCGAAGACCACGAGACGTACAGTCTTGAAGACCAGGTCGCCAGCCCGACGACCCGGAAGAGTGAGGAGGTGAATATCACCCAGTCACATCCGGTTGCCTGCGCCCTTTGAACGTACTTGGAAGCCTTCGTGAGCAGACACACGTCGTTCGGCCCGAAACCTCCTCCAACCCGACAGTTTTAGCCACACAGCAGTGGTGCCCTTCTTGAAGGGCCGGGTCGTTGGGCTGGCGACCTCACGACGCGAAGACGCTCAGAACGAGAGATCCTCAAGTTTTTCCAGGTCCTCGGGCTGTATGTGGGTTTTCTTGGGCTGCCTTGTGGCCCTCGGTAGCCGTCTTGGGGTGATATTGGGGCCTCTTTGGACCGCCTTGGCTCAGTATTCATGGCCTGGGCCATCTTGGACTCGCTTCAGACCGAGAACGCGAGATTCACAAATGGGCCAAGCACAAGAGCACACCTACAATGAAGTGCTGCCTCTTGTGACCCTGCTTGGGGGATCCTCTTGTGGCGTCGTGGGATCCCCTCGGGCCGGATTGCCGCCATCCTGGGATC